ACACACACACACACACACACACACACACACACACACACACACACACATTTACAGCCATATATCTTTAAGTAGTTTCACAGGCGTGAACCAACACACACATGAGCTAAATCCTGTTTTCCCAAGGTAACGGTTAGACTGAGATGTAAAAGGAAGATAATTACAGTTTACATTAAACATTTAGGCAAAATTAAAAAAAGGGGGTCGACATCATCAGGGTCACCATTCTTAAAATCAGCCTAATCACTATCGCCATCTTGTATTTCTACTGCTGAAATTACTATTTCTAGCCGTCCAAATGTTTCCTTCCATAGCGGCTATTTTAACAGAGATAAAAACAGTATAATTCAGACACCAAATTAACATTTTGGCCCCAGAACAGGAAGAATTTAATGATTCAGACTTCCATTTAGTCGATGTCCCCACAGTGTTGCATAAAAATATGAAGGACCATTCAAACATGTTGAGTAGTCCTCTCAGCCATCTGACTGTGGCCAATCTTATGAGGCAGGCGCGTTTATACATTAACATTAAAAACCACCAGGACTGAGCCAAATCCTTGCTCATGTGTCATAACCCATTAGAAACAGTCACTAGTCAATGGGTCCGGTTGAGTGTTTTTGTGGTTTATGCCAGACAATAGTCCTGATGTGAGAGACACGGAGCAGCAGCGCTGCCTCAGACCATTAGCTAAAACTTACAGGGTGTAACTCAGTCATCTGCTATGCAGCTACAGCTCAACACTAGCTAACAGAAACGCACGCTCAGTGCGATCATCGAACTCAACTGAAGTGAAATGGAGTTTCACAAAATGCTACCAGTGTAGAAGTGTAAAGGTAAGAGTTGTTAAGCGAGATCCTGGAGTCCTGCCATTCAGCCTACTCTGCAATCTGCCACGTGCTCCCTCAATCGTATCAGCAGTTTTAGTGGCTATTACTGCTCTACCACACTTAAATAAATTACTGGAGGAGGATAAATCTGTGTGCGTGGGGAGAGTGTGTGTGTGTGTGTGTGTGTGTGTGTGTGTGTGTGGGGGGGGGGG